GAGCAGATTTAAGAAAATCTTTAGTCACAGCAAACTATAGTCTTGCCTGATAGTCTTCTCCTTGTTTCTTCCTTTTTTGTGGAAGACACTTGAATTGAAGCTGTTAGTGGCCAATGCTGATAGATGCCTTTCAATCACTCCACGCATTCTATATGTGTACTATATAATTTTCAACATAGGAATATGTTGGTTGGAAATCATCTGTCAGGTTTTTCTCCCTTGTCAGTATATATCTCTTCTCTTTCAATTCAGAATCTAAGGGAATTGAAGTGTATGATAGAATCTCAAGGGACTGTCTGATACACAGTAGTTCTTATTTTTCTCCAGCACTACCAGCACCATCAAACCGTGGATAGCACTCATTATTCCAGAAAGGATCAACAAACACTGACTCTTTAGCACCAGATAATTTTCCTTAGTTCTTGGTCAGTGAGGTGGCTCACATCGGTAATCCTAATGTTCCGGGAGGCCGAGGTGGGTGGATCACTTGGGTTTAGGAATTTGATATCAGTCTGAACAAGAGCAAGACCCCGTCTCCACTAAAAAATTAGCCAAGTGTGGCAGGCAGCTGTAGTTCTAGGTACTTTGGGAGGCTGAGGCAAGAGGATCGCTTGAGCCCAAGAGTTTGAGGTTGCTGTGAGCTATGATGCCATGGTGCTGTAGCCTGGGTGACAGAGTGGAGACTCTGTTTCCAAAAACAAAAACAAAAACACTGCAGTGCTCTGTCATGGCCATAGACCATAGCCAAATCCCAGGAAAACCACATAAAATCATGTGATTGTGCAAAAGGGAAACTGATTTAAAGAATCACTAACTAACTAAATAAAAACATCCTAACAATTATTGAGTATTTACTATGTTTCAGACACTGTGCTAAGTACTTTTAATACAGACTTTTTTTCATTTACTGTTTACAGAAATAGATGAGCTGGGATTTGAACCAAGAAAAGGTTTAGCTCAGAGTCGAAGCTCTTAATCACCACACTAGATTGTCTTTCAATCCATTACTTACTAAAGAAAAACTCACTGGAGTCATCTTTGCATACGGAGGCCTGGACTGAGGTACTTTACTCTGCTTTTAATCACAACCATTGCTCCTCTGCCCCCAAAGCCTGTTATTCATAGTGGTTCCCAGGCTGCGTAACCAACAGTAAATCCTTTGCTGCTCTCCGTCTTTCACTGGAACAGGCAGTTCTTGCTTTTGATGCTTTGTGGCTCACCCTCTGTAAACTCAACACTGTATAATTAACTCCTGGACTCTACTTCTCAGTACGGTTATACAACCTTGGTTTTGGGAGCAGGGACCAATGTGAGTGAATAAGGACTCAGGGGGAAACCCAGAAGACAGAGAACAATGCACGTCTGCTACACGCTACAAAACATTCCAAGACCTATCACGAGCCAGTGAGACCCCCATGCTGTCCCAGAGTGGGGCGATGTCTTTCTCTCCCCCCA